GGAATGAGGGGTGTTTTTTTTTTTTTTAAATGATAACATTTGAATATATTATAAAATCAGTACATAGGTTGTACTGGAAACCATATTTACAGGTAAATGCTAACTAGATTTGCTAGTGTGCAATCCTAGCAAGATCCTTATATGTCTATGATTAACAATGTATCTTCTGTGTAAATATGTTTACACCAAAAACAAAAAAGAAGAATACAATTGAGTTTGATCTTCTGTATTGAGTTACTTGTGTCTTCAAAACATCTAGCAGTCCTTTCCTTCCAAACTGTCCACCAGATGCATGCTGGGACAGTCCTCCATCTATCTCTGTTGGTTGCTTCAGCTCCAGCTTCTTCCCAACTAAAAAGAACTTCATTGATCCTATGGGGCATTGTCCATGAAATACCCCTAAGATTAATAAAAATTTTCCATAGTTGGTCTGTTATCTTGCAGTGTAGAAATAGATGGCTAACTGTCTCAACACTTTCCCCACATAGAAGACATCTTGAGCAAAAAGAGATTCCTCTCTTTATGAGATTATCCTGAGTTAATATAGCCTCCTTTGCTAGTAGCCAAGTGAAACAAGCTACCTTATAGGGAATCTTAGTTTTTCCATATATGCTTCCATGGCCAATCTCTTATCTGTGGGTTATTTTGGTTCAAAATCTTATATGCTGCCTTCACCTGATAGACCCCTCTGTCATGCCTCTGCCACCAAAATGAGTCCACCCCTTCCTGTATTCCTTTAAATGTCTCCAGCTTGTTATAAAGGTCAGTTAATCTTACTATCTCCCAGTCATTCAACTGCCTTCTAAGAATTAGTTCCCATCCTTGAGAACTCCACGTCTCAGCTACTGTCTTCTGTTGGTCTTGTGCCAAACCAAACATATCAGGGTAGAGTTCCTTTAGGCATCCATACCCCAACCAGTTATTATTCTAGAATGAACCTTTCCTTCCATTGTTCACTCTTATGAAAGTGTGGTTCTTCATTGTAGGCCCCAGTTCCCTGATGGATTTCCACACACTAACTCCATATGATGCACTAACTTCCTTTTGACACCCAGTTATTTTCCTCCCCATACTTTGCTTTGATCACTTTGCTCCATAAGGTTTGGAGTTCTTGAGAATACCTCCATAGCCATTTCATTTTGAGAGTCTTTCTTTGATTCTTCAAGTTTTTGATTCCCAGACCACCTTGCCTTTTCATCACTATGATGGATTTCCATTTGACCAAATGGAAGACCTTTTTCTCCTTATTCCCTTGCCAAAGGAAGGATCTTCTGAGTTTGTCCAATCTCTGTATAATTCCACCTGGAATTGGGAACAAGGACATCATGTAAGTGGGAATTGAATCTAAAACTGAGTTGATTAAGACTAGCCTTCCCCCCATTGATAAATATTGAGTTTTCCATCTTGACAACTTCTTCACACATTTTTCAATAACTGAATTCCAGATCTCTTTGGATTTTGATCTTGCACCCAGAGGCATCCCCAGATAGATGGAAGGTAGAGACCCTACTTCTCCTCCCACTACTAGTGACAGTTGCTCCATATTGTGGACTTCATCGATGGGGTAAATATGGCTCTTTCTCCGGTAGATGTGAAGTCCTGAAATTCCTTCAAACAATACTAAGATGATCCTCAAATATCTAAGCTGCTCCTCTTCAGCATCACAGAAGATTAGAGTATCATCAGCATATTGGAGATGTGTGATCTTTAGACTATCAGCACTATTCCTGTCAACCTCAAAGCCTTTGACCCATCTATTGACATTTGATGTCTTAACCATGTTGTTTCGACCTTCCATGGCTATGATGAATAGGAAGGGAGATAAGGGGTCACCTTGTCTTAGACCTCTATTGGCAGGGAAGAAACCTTAAGAAGATCCATTTATGAGGATGGAAAATCTGACAATAGAGATACAAAATTTCATCCAATTGATCCATTTCTGCCCAAAACCCATCTGTTCTAGCATTTTCAACAAAAAACTCCAATTGACATGATCATAGGCCTTTTCTATATCTAGTTTGCATAGATTTCCTGGTTTTTTCTTTTTGATTCTTGAGTCCACTGCTTCATTGGCTATCAACACTGCATCCATTATTTGTCTTCCTTTGATAAAAGCCATCTGTTGAGCATCTACTAGTTTGTCTACCACCCTCTTCAGTCTTTCAGTCAAAACTTTTGACAGCAGCTTGTAGAAACTCCCTATCAAGCTGATTGGCCTGAAATCTCTTAGTTCAAATTTGCTTTATAGAAATTCCTTCTCCAAATCTGAGATAGTGGGGTTGTCAAAATTGACTGCAGGTCTCCACTCTTCAGGTTCTGTGTATAACTTCTTATATAATTCAATGATCTCATTCTTTATTCTGCTTGGCTCCTCCACTGTTTCATCTTGGATCACCAGTTGATCAATATTATTGTACCTCTTGTGTGCATTGGCAGTGCGAAAAAAAAACTTTGTATTTCTATCCCCTTCTTTGAGCCACAGGGTCCTAGATTTCTGTCTCCATGTACTTTCTTCATTCTTGAGATGCTCCTCAAAATCCATGAGGGCAGCTGCCTTCCTCACTGACTCCTCCTCTGTCAAAGCTCTTGTTTGCTGTATTGTATCAAATTCTGCCAATTGGCTTATCAATTTAGATTTTTGCATTCCCAGATTTCCTTTACAGCTTCTGCTCCATTCTTTTAGCTTGCCTTTGAGGGCTTTTAGTTTGCAAGCTAAAATGTAGTCTGGTCTTCCTGAGAATTCAAAAGTTGTCCACCAGTTCCTGATTCTATCATCAAAACCTTCAGAATTCAACCACCAATTTTCAAACTTAAAGTATGATTTGGCTTGCTCCCAAACACCACAGCAGAGGGCCACCGGGGTATGATCAGAGATCAATCTTTGTTGGATAGTTTGCATGATGTTTTTGAAGCTATCATCCCATTCTTCTGAAATTAGAAACCTGTCAATTCTAGAAGCAGTTGTATGATTATCCCCTTTGAACCAAGTGTAGGAGCCTTCTTCAAGTTGAAGGTCTATCAACTCCATGTCTTCAATGCAATCCGGGAATTCCACCATCTCTTTTGACCTCCTAAGGCAATCCCTTTTTTCAAGGGGAAACCTTGTGACATTGAAGTCACCACAAACTGCCCAAGGGCCATTCAACAAACCCCTCACCGCACCAAGTTTCCTCAATACTGTTCTTCTTTCAATTCTGCAATTTGGAGCATATATTCCTGTTATATGACATTGAAAGTTCTGTAAGAGAGCCTCCAACTTACCAACTTACATGTCAGAGTGTACGCCCCAATCTGTAACACCTCCCCTTTCCATACTCTACAGTCCCATAGTAATAAAATTCCCCCTCTCGTGCCACTAGCTTCTAGACATGCATACCTCACCCATCTCCCCCCCACCCCCCAAACTTGACTGACAATTCCCTTGATATCCCCCTCCAGTTTTGTTTCCTCCATACAAATAATATCTGCCTTCCAGTTGCTTATTTGACTCTTTATGATCTCCCTTTTCTTCTTGTCATTTAATCCCCTAACATTCCATGATATTAGATTGATCTTCATATTGCAATAATTGATAGGTCTTTCCCCCTAGTTCTTTTCTTTTGACATCAAAGGAAGCTAGACCTTTTAATTCTAGTGAGCCTTTGAATCTTTGTTTCTTCACCTCCACCTCTGTCTCCACTCTTCCAACTTGTCTGCAACTGTCAATTTGCATCAGCAGCTCCAGTGCTTCTTCTTAGTGACCAAGAAAATCTATTCTGAACATTTTCCCCAATTTAATCATGTTCTGGTGAACTCATAGTGTTGTGTCCATCTCCTTATCCATTACTGAATTTTGGTGTTGAATTGAGAGAGGAGTAACCTCCTCCACCTCCTAGTTTTGTTCAGAATTGAGATGAATTAGTTGTTTTTGGACCGCCAGCCTGCTATCTGCTTGATCTTCCCCTAATTTCGTGTGAATAGTGAGCTCCCCTGCATTCTGTCCCAATTTTCCTGCCTCTTCATCACATACAGGCTGTTCGCATTCCCTTTCTGTTGTTGCATGTGCCATAATTTAGAGGGTTGCAGAGGAAATTGGATTCTCTGCGTTATTTTCTTGAATTTCGAACTAGAGACGCTACCAAGTTCCTCAAAATAAGGCGTCGCTCTTTTTTCTGCATTGGGCTCCCGTGAAATGTCATTAAAAATGACTTGGGCCGTTGGATCAGGCCCATTTAGTTTCAGACCAGTATTTGTGCTATTTAGGCCCAGATCTGCTGAAATAAAACTTGGATCTTGCATGTGCTGCACACGTGTCTCTCCTTTACTCTTCACATGCAGTGAAGTACACCCCACGTGCTTCCCCATCATATTTACAGCAGTTTGACTGCTTTTAACCGTTGGTTTCTCATAGGTCTCCTTTGTCCACTGGTCGCTTGTGAGATTTGTACTTTTCTCAGTTTCTTCTCCGGCACAGGCTAGGGTTTGCGATGGTTTTAGCTCGAATCTTGCTTGTTTTTCAGCCCAGATTGGGATGAAGAATCTGATCCCTTCTCTTTCAATCACCATTTCAGTGGGTATTTTCCTGCCATCACCAGCAACTTGGATTCTGACCCACTTGAGATGATTTTTGAGGTCGGTTTCTTCTTCAATAGCTATCCATGCCCATAGAGATCTCCTATTTCTTTGAAGATCTTTTGTGACCAAAGATTAAGGGGAATCCCCATGGCTCTAATCCAGCAGGTTTCCATTATTTGAGAATTTGATATGCAACCAGCAGTGTAGTTCCACCATTCCAGATGGAACTTGAACTTTTTCCATCTCCATTCCACCTTACAAAACCTGCTCAGCCATATATCTATTCGGAAATTCGAATAGAAACATGTTACCCGTCATCTCGTACATGTTGACCCCAAAAGCTTTGTTCCAAGAAGCAACAGCCCATCTCCTTATGTCTGTTAGTGTGGGTCGCTCAGTAATATCCTTTCCAAAGTACCCAATAATGTATCTTTTGAGCAGGCCAGTGTCCTCAATTCCGTGTGGTTCCATAATAGAAATGTCTCCTTTATTTGAACTGACTACTGCCTCTTTAAGGGTATTGGATTGCCATATACTCTCCTTAACTGCTTTGGCATAAGGGTAGTTGTCCACGGTGTATCTGGGAGGTATTTTTTCACTCAACTTGTGGCCATAATAAATGAATCTCTTTATCTTAAATGAAATGTCTTTCCAACCTGCATTCAAGGCCAGCTCTGGGATAATAATGATTGACCTTTCCTCTCCCTTTAATGACAAGATACTCATATACCTTCCGTAAGCATTGAATTTCCTAGTGCAGAAATATTCTGTCAGATGTTCCTTATTCTTCCATCTCCTCACTAGATTCCTCTGATCTTTCGAAGCTTCTTTAAGTATGAAGCACAACCATTTCATTGTCTTTTTGCCCATGGATGAGCGTCTCATCATATTGCGACTTCTCTTCAACCATTCAAACCATGTGTCTTTGTTGGAATTCCAGCTGGTGATGTCGAAAGATTTGAAGCCAGCATTGAAGTATATCCAGTTTCCTACCATATTAGATCTAAACAACTACTTATGTGAAAAGGAGAAGAAGGTTTGGCAGTAATCACAGTGGGTGATTACTGATTTAGAAGAAAGAAAGGTTTGGTAGTAATCACAGTGGGTGATTATTGATTTAGAAGAAAGAAGAGTTAGATTCCGGTGAAAGATTATGCCGAAAAAGGTATTCTGCAGTCCTAGGAAGTAGGAAAGAGAAGATTCTTGGGAAGAGTGCCTGGGAGCATTTTTGAAAGTAATGTTTTAGGAAACTAAATTTTGGAATGAGGGGTGTTCTTCGGAGGCCATTTCATTCATCAATACTTCATTGTTCTTTAGCAGTTTGCTCAAATTTTAAAATCGTCTTTATTCATTTCTCAAAATCCGAGCACAAGATAGAAAGCAAATACTTAAACAATGCTAAACGGTTTTTTAGTAAATGAACACATAAATTAATACTATAAACTCTCAGAGCAATGTGAAAAAACTAACCAATGCTGAGATGCTGTAATCCGAGGATGTTGGAGCAGTATTTACAAGCTGCTCTTTGTCAAGATCCCAAGCCATGATAGAAGAAATCTCACCAGATGCAAGCTGATGAGAAATTCAAATTGACATGTAAGCAAAATGTGTAAAACATCTACTTAAAGTTAACTTGTACGACGACATGTAATTAGGTGTGGGTGGTCGGTTCGGTGTATAGTTTGTTCGGTATGGGCTTGGTATGCTGGGCTATTTTCTGCTTCAAAAATAGGCTATACTTGGTTTGGGCCTTACGATCGGAAAGTAATTAACACAATAAATAAATTGAGTCAGAATTGATTCCAATACTTATGTATTGATTCAGATTCTCCACGAAATTGATCAAACAGTTTTTGATTACTGAAGTGTCAACATGTACCAATTTGCTGAAATTAAAGCTCAAGCATTAGCACAAGCTTTTTGTGCAAAAACACCATACAATCACGCTAAATATCCAACAGAAATACACCATGGCAGACTACTAAACCAAACAACATTAATAAAATGTAAATACCCAAACTTGATGATGAAAAATAAAGAGTCACAATTCACAACCAAAGCACATAAAATATAATAAGTCTAAAATCTATCACCGAATACTAAACAATAGCAGTCACAATCTAGGTCTAGAATTCACCAAATCCAAAATAACACTAATTGTCAACACATTAACTTAAACACAAAGTTGTCTTCCTAGATGCAGATGATGCTCAAGACATCTCTTAATATGCTTCATGCCTTCATCATAACCTTTTGTATCATTATATTTCTGACAACAATTAAACACGTCAATACACTGGTTTGCACTTTGTTTTGCGTCTTCATTGTCTTCAACCACCTCAAAATATTCTCAAACCGGTTAGCGAGCATTAGCAGCATGGCTGAACTTGAACCTAACTAACCATAAGATAAAATCATAAGATAGAATATATTTTTTATGCTTACCACTTATAACAAAATACATCAACAATGCAAGAATCTCTTCCATTATTTGCCATATTAAAGATAATTTAATCAAATGTTCATATTTAGAGATATTTATATATTTTATTTTTTTGAATTATTTTTAGCCTGCGTACATATTACCCAGACCTCTAGATCCGCTTGTGGGATTATACTGGGTCGTTGTTGTTGTTGAATTATTTTTAGCCGGATCCTTGCACCCATATTCATACTAGGATCCGCAACCCTAAATCTTAGAATTTACATCTCAAAGGATCCGACCTCTAGATCCGCACCCATGTCGGATATCCGCACCCCTGTGCGAGCAACTTAGCTCTCACACGTTGAAAATAGCTTTTGACACCAATTAGGTGGGATGTTAATGAAATGAAACTTGATTTATCAAAGAAAAAAAATGATCTTGTAGTGGATGAACTTAGGAAATAGGTAAGTAATAATAGAATAAATTAGAAATATCAGACAGCTTTGCATTCACTTACTAACTTCTTAGAATCAAATACGTTATACATACCAGGTATCCAGACTGCTGCTGCCAATCCACAACAGCATTCACACTGCGCGCAACAGGTCTGTCACCTTGAATTGCAGAGAATGCAGAAACTAGTTTCTGTTGACCTCTTTCAGTATAGTCTTTCCAAATCCGTATGTTGCCATCACCTTTTAAAGATAACTTTGTTAAAAATTAAGGCATCAACCATAAATCTTGATTAAATGTGTGCAACATCAAATACCAAAAGAAAAACATATGTCACAGCAGATGTTTACCTGAAGCAACAAGGAGCAAGCTCTCATCAAGCTCATTCACGAGGTAGAGCTTTGAAATTCCTTTATCAGGGTAACCATGGTTGTCGAAGCTGTTAAGAAGGGTAGCCTCCTTGTAATTCCACACCCTGTAATACACAAAGGCACAAGAACCATGATATTCCTGCAACTGCACAAAGAAATAAAACTAGTAGAATGTTGTCCAGTCATCTAACACGTACAAGAAGCTCAACATATCAAACCTAATCGCCAAAAACTTTACCATGTAAAAGAAACTCAACATCTCAAACCTAACTGCCAGAAAGTTGAGAAGTTGTTCTGACGTGTCGCGCGTAAGGGGTGAGAAGACTGAGAAAGAACTGAGAAAGAACAACAAAAATAAGCAACTGATGCAGCAAATCTGTTGGGAAACATAGCATGAATCACAGGGAAAGGTTTGAGATTTCTCGAGAATTGAGCACTCGCCAAATAGATGAGATTTGATTCCAATTAAGTGAAGTAAATAAGAGGTCACGATTCCCCTATCCACAAATTAGTCCATCACTCATATCCTCTAGACGTACCTTTTATGTTAAAGCATCATTAAATTTTATAACCAACAAGAACACCTGATCCTAGCACCATACAAGAGTAGGTCAAAGAAGGATTTCAATATAAATGGCTTCTCTTTCTTGAAGCTCCAAGAAGATGTGAATTATTTAAGACGAAGCATATTTCCTGGACTTGTGTCCTAACTTTGACCAGCATTTAGTCTTTCCACCAGAGAATGGTTGCTTACCAATAAAGCAGCATTGTTGGTCGAACTACAGATTACACATAGCTCCCATTGGACTAACCTAGTACTTGAACTAACCCACCCTTCCCGCAGTTCTGCAATAGAAGATCGTGAGGAAGGAACCATAGCAAACAATGCCTTCATTCAGGCCAATGAGATTCCTCTACCTGATCAATTCACGCTCATCTGAAGCAACCACAATTGATGAGAAGGGCTGCAGCAAAGCAGTTTTCGTACCACTCTCAAACTTTGTATCCCAACTGGCAATTTGATTATGCAGTCTGCTCACCGCTGAAGAATTGAAGTGAGCATTGACCATATTAGATGTGTTCCAGATAAATGATGACAAATACACATGACTGATGGGGGTAGAAGAGGGAAAGAAACATGAGCCTAGTCAACTCACAACAGTGCTGGCATTTTGCAATGAGGTCAAGAGCTAACTTTTCCTTCACTTCTCTCTTAGCAATGATCTCTTCACTATCATCAGCTGCAGTAAGAAGTGGCTTCGAGAAGTGGCCACAACTCCAATTATAGATGGTTGACTGTGGAAGAAAACTGCGTTCTGAAGCTCCAGAAGATCCACCAGAACCCAAGAGCGGATCAGCTAATCCTGAGTCTGGAGAGTTCATTAGGTGAGGCCTGAAGTCTAAAGAATAAACTCTTCGCATTCCTGTTAAGTAACTGGACCAAGGGGGACTAACAGGAGGAGTCCTAAAAGTCAGAGGTAAATGTCCACCTGCAACAGTTAAAATGATTACTTCAAAAGGCATAATGAGCATCTGTAGGAAAGTTGAACATCAAGGTTGATACTTATGTAGTGGGTTGTGGGTGTACAGAAACTAAAATAGTATTGACTCTTAGTCTCCTTCGAGTCACCAAATATACCTCCACTCATGTCAAACCAAGAAGACGATCGATTCAATCCAGCAAAATTACAGCCAGAAGCTGTTGTGGATTCAACAGTTGACTTGACAGACTTGGCAAGAACTTGGTCAATCCCAATAATCGAAAGCACTTTCCGGCCAAGACCTGCAACACGAGGTGATGGATCCTTTGCTAAGGCACACATGGCCAGCACACACTGAGAATAGAGTGAATTGTCTAGTGGCCTGGGTCTTCTATGATTAACAACACCATTGCTAACAGCACCACTCAATCTTTCAGAGTCAAAATGTTGAGAAGAATCATCGGACAAAGGAGATCCATGCATGAAGCCAGGTGTTGCAACAGGGCTGCTAGTTGAGACTCTCCCATCACGAGATATAGACTGACTGTCTCCTCCCACTCTCAATAAAGGAGCAATAGGAGATGGAACTACATTTCCATGTGGAACATAATGAGTTGGGGATGTATAGCCACTACCTGAACTCTTGAACACAAAAGAAGGCAAGGAAGTGATCATGGAATTAGACTGCGACTTCAAATATGCAGCTGCAACCGACTTCAGGTGCTTGTTATGTCCAAAGGCAAAACGTGCCAAAACTATAAAGTTGGAGCAATGTGAACTAGCTCAGTCATACATCGTATGCATAATGGTAGTACAGGCACAAGATAAAGAGGAGAGGAATGGGAGGAAATCAGAGAATTAGACGTGCTATGAAGGGAGTAGATATTCATTGGCAAAAATTATAACTCATGCAAACATGTATGAAACGATTGCCAGCTGAACTATTTGTTCTTTTGAATAATTATAGGGCAAGCACGGAAAATTATTTCACCACTCTATACTTATTTTTGCTTTTCGCTTCTCCTTTTTCCTGCGCTAGAGCAACTCAGAAAATTTTCAACAAGTAGTATGCTATTAAATAATGGGTACTATTCAGCATTAGGCTTTGTCTTCAAAGTGAAAAATAAACAAAACGCATAGTCTAGTCAGACTTAGTTCAGAAGGTGTCCTCATCATACAAGAAATGTATCGCAGGCTGTTTTAAGACTTATCGTCAAATTTATCAAATTGGTACAATACTGAAACCTGCAATATACTACTCTTAAAAGAAGAGATCAAATATGGGAGAAATCAGAAAGCAGGTTAGAAAACAACAGTAAGTGCATCACAGTGAAAAGTCTCCCGGGATGGGGGTGTTAATTCAGTGAAAACATACCAACAGCAACCTCCGCTCGTACAAAAGGGCTTCCATCAGAAACAACACTTAGAAGACTCCTAATTATGACGACTTCTGCCCTAGCTTTCTCCTCATAATTGCAGTGTTCATCCTCTATAATGTCGTCCCAAGATGTATCAAATCCAACATCAAGTAAAGTACCTAGTGCAAAAACAGATGCAGCTCGTACCTGAAATAAGTTGCTCCTCAGTTGAAGTCTAACAAATAATGGAGAACCACAGAATACACCAACTTGACATACAATTGAACTACAAACCTCAGGCTGGGATTGAGAAAGTAGAGGCACAAATATTGCTGGTGCATCTGCCTGCAAACCTAGCACTTGTGCCTCGGTGAAATCCTCCCAGAGCTTTCCCAGACAGAGGCACAGCCATTGAAGAAACAGTGGTTCAGTTTGTGCATCATTAGGAATTGATCCCTGAAGATGCTTCAGGCAGACATTAATAAGCCCTGCTTCAATACAGGCCTCCTGACCCTGTCTGTAACCATCAATAATGACTGCCAAGACAAATGCAGCCATTGCCCTTTGTTCTGGATAAGCGTCAACACTGTCGAGAAATCTAATGAAATACACATGTCCACCATCTTTAACAAGGTCAACCTGGCAAGACTGTTTTCTCACAGGAAAAGGTTAATCAAATGAATATTAAACTAGAGGATCAGATCACGCAGAGTGAATCAAGAAACACAAACTAGTAGAGATAGTTATCTAAGACAAATGACAGCACGAAGATTCTGAAAGAAAAGAAAGAAATTTGAACACTTTAATATACGTAGTTTCTACATAGTATATTCGATCAAAGAAAGAAAAAACACAGCGACAAGCATTAAACGAAGGAGAAAAGAAAATACCCTATCAACATATTAGATTCCACAAATATATCAGTAGATTCAGGTAACACCGGAATAAAGAATAAGAAAGTTGTGAGAATGCACAGGAGAAAAATATTATATTGATTAAAGTGTTGTACAACCCTATTTATATACAGTAATTACATAATAATAGGTATCTACTTCCCGATGTGGGACACTAAACATGACTAGCTACTTAACACTCCCCCTCAAGCCGGTGCATATAAATCATATGTACCGAGCTTGTCACAGATGTAACTAATAAGAGAACCAGTAAGAGACTTAGTGAAAATATCAGCTAGCTGATCATTCGACTTTACAAACTTTGTAACAATATCTCCTGAGAGTATCTTTTCTCTGACAAAATGACGGTCGATCTCAATGTGTTTAGTCCTCTCATGGAACACCGGATTTGACGCAATATGAAGAGCAGCTTGATTATCACACACCAGTTCCATCTTGCTGATTTCTCCGAACTTCAACTCCTTGAGCAACTGCTTGATCCAAACTAGCTCACACGTTGCCATAGGCATGGCCCGATATTCGGCTTCGGCGCTAGATCGAGCAACTACATTATGTTTCTTGCTCTTCCAAGAGACCAAATTACCTCCTACTAGAACACAATATCCAGACGTAGAACGTCTATCAGAAGGTGATCCTACCCAATCAGCATCTGTGTACCCAACAATCTGCTCGTGGCCTCGATCCTCGAATCGTAACCCTTTGCTCTGGAGCTGACTTTATATACTAAAGAAAGCGAACAACTGCATCCCAGTGACTATCACAGGTCGAATCCATAAACTGACTTACAACACTCACCAGAAAAGAAATGCCAGGTCTAATCACTGTGAAGTAATTCAATTTGCCAACCAACCTCCTATATCTCGTAGGATCTCTAAGAGGCTCCCCTGTCCAGGCAAAAGCTTAGCATTCGGATCCATAAGAGTGTCAACAGGTCTACAACCCATCATTCCAGTCTCCTCAAGAATGTCTAAGGCATATTTCCGCTGTGAAATAACAATACCTGAGCTAGACTGAGCGACCTCAATACCTAGAAAATACTTCAATCTGCCCAGATCCTTAGTCTGGAAGTGTTGAAAGAGATATTGCTTCAGATTAGTAATACCATCCTGATCATTGCTAGTAATAACAATATCATCAACATAAACCACCAGATAAATACACAGATTAGGAGCAGAGTGCCGATAAAACACAGAGTGATCAGCTTCACTACGAGTCATGCTGAACTCCTGAATAACTGTGTTGAACTTACTAAACCAAGCTCGAGGGTACTGTTTCAAACCATATAGTGACCTGCACATTCGGCATACAAGACCACTAGACTCCCCCTGAGCAACAAAACCAGGTGGTTGCTCCATATAAACTTCTTCCTCAAGATACCGTGGAGAAAAGCATTCTTAATGTCTAACTGACAAAGAGGCCAATGACGTACCGCAGCCATGGACAAAAAGAGACGAACAGATGCTACTTTAGCCATGAGAGAGAAAGTGTCACTATAATCAAGCCCAAAAATCTGAGTGTATTCTTTTGCACCAAGACGAGCCTTAAGACGATCAACCTGGCCATCCGGGCCGACTTTAACTGCATAAACCCAACGACAACCAACAGTAGACTTATATGAAGGAAGAGGAACAAGCTCCTAAGTGCCACTCGCATGTAAAGCAGATATTTCCTCAATCATAGCCTGTCGCCATCCTGGATGAGATAGTGCCTCACCTGTAGACTTTAGGATAGAAACAATGGACAAAGATGATATAAAAGCATAATGAGGTGATGGCAAACGATGATAACTTAAACAAACATAATGGAGATTAGGATTAAGAGTGGAACGTACACCTTTGCGGAGTGCAATTGGTTGACTAAGAGGAGACAAGTCCGCAATAGGTGCAGAATATGATGCAGGACGTGAATCACCTTAGCTTGATGTTGGACGTGGACGACGATGATAAGTCAAGAGTGGTGGAGCTATAGGTGGTGGAACTGAAGCTATAGGTGGTGGAGCTGCAACTGGAGCAGTAGGCGGTGGAGCTGCAACTGGAGCTGTAGGTGGTGGAGCTGGAGTTGTAGAGGAAGATTAATAGGAGATAGTGACTGAATCTCCAAAAGATGAAACTGATAGCATCTCAGAAATAAATAAGTGATTACCTGGACCTGTGAAGTATGATTGGGTTTCAAAGAAGGTAACATCAGCAGACATAAGGTACCGTTGGAGGTCAGGAGAATAGCATCGATACCCCTTTTGCTTTCTCGAGTAACCCAGAAATACACACTTAAGAGCGCGAGGAGCTAACTTATCTTTTCCTGGAGTAAAGTTATGAACAAAACATGTGCTTCCAAAGACATGGGGTGGAAGAGAGAAGAAAGATAAGTGGGGAAACAGGACAGAGAATGGAATTTGATTCTGGATAGCTGAAGATGGCATACGATTAATAAGATAGCAAGATGTAAAAAATGCATCCCCCCAAAAACGCAACGGAGCATGAGATTGTATGAGTAGGGTACGAGCAGTTTCAATAAGATGTCTATTCTTTCTTTCAGCTACCCCATTTTATTGAGATGTGTACGGACAAGATGTTTGATGAATAATCCCATGAGAATTCATAAACTGCTGAAATGGGGAACACAAATACTCTAGGGAATTATCACTACAAAATGTACGGATAGAAACCCCAAATTGATTTTGAATTTCAGCGTGGAAGGTCTGGAAAATAGAAAACAACTCGGACCGATTTTTCATCAAAAATATCCAAGTGCACCTGGAATAATCATCAATGAAACTGACAAAGTAGCGGAATCCCAAGATAGAACTGACCCGACTAGGATCCCAAACATCTGAATGGACTAAAGTAAAAGGTGACTCTACTCTATTACCAAGACGCCGAGGGAAATGGGAGCGGGTATGCTTACCGAGCTGACATGACTCACACTCTAGAGTGGACAAGTGAGATAAACCAGGTATCATTTTCTGAAGTTTTGATAAACTGGGATATCCCAACCGTTTATGTAATAAATCTGGTGAATCGGTAACAAGGCAAGTTATTGAAGGAAGACAAGATGCGAGTCCATGTGATTTTGCAAGGATAAGGTAATAAAGTCCATCTAATTCACGTCTGGTACGAATGATCCGCCCTGTACTGCGTTCTTATATAAAAACAAGGTCATCAAGAAATAAAACAACTCATTTAAGTGATTTGGCTAAGCAACTAACGGCTATGAGATTAAAAGACTATTGGGAACATAAAGGACTGAATCTAAAAGTAAGGAAGGAAGTGGGCTTGCTTGACCTATTGCAGTTACCATGGTTTGAGTCCCATTGGCCATTGTGACTGTTGGAAGAGATTGAGAATATGAAATACTAGTGAAAAGAGATTTGTTACCAGAAATATGATCAGATGCACCTGAATCAATGACCCAAGACTCAGAGGTTGAAGATTGGGAACACAAGTCACGCTACTATCTGTTTGAACAACGGAAGCTATCCCTGAAGATGTCTGTTTACATGCTTTGTACTGAAGGAACTTAATATAATCCGGTAAAGAAACCATCTGGATTGGATCCAATGCATTGGATCCAACGGATTGTGAGTTAAAAGATTCTGATACGAATGCCATTATAATATTGTGCCGAAAAAAGCAAAAAAATTCTGGGAATCACTGTTCACGCCGGAAAAATCATTGTTCACACCGAAAAAATAAAAAGGTTGTCGGAATTTGATGAAACTAAATGACAAGAATCCGAATAATCTCCTGAATAATCTGTCCAAAAGAAGCTTGTCGGGAAAATCACTGTAGCTGCTGGAAAGTCTATGTAGTTGCCGGAAAAATCTCAAAGTGATCGGAATAAAAAGAAAATGACATGGGTAGGCTCGGAATGGCCACGCGAACAGGTTGTCTGAAAGAAAAAATTAGGCCACACGCGCCGGCGCGTGGGGAAGAACTCGTCGGAAAATCATACTTCTGATCCGCACTTGAGGGCGCGTCAGAGGTCGGTTGACGGGAGATCTTTGGTGGGGTTTGGTCGCCTAAGTCTTGGGGACCCTGTGGTGGTGTTGGTTTTTGCACAACACCAATAGAAAGTGATTTTGTTACAGACAGCCTCTTTAGTCGCCGGAAAATTGCACGGCGACGAGGTCTTTCTTCCCGGAAGTCGCTGGATGATGCACAGCGATAATTTTCTCACCGAAGCTCTATACCATGTGAGAATGCACGGGAGAAAAATATTATATTGATTAAAGTGTTGTACAACCCTATTTATATACAGTAATTACATAATAATAGGTATCTACTCCCCGATGTGGGACGCTAAACATGACTAACTATTTAACAAAAGCATTCAAGATCTTCAAAATACTAAGAAAATATAAAAAACACAGAACTACTTCTGTAAATCCAGCGGTAATCTCTTCCTTTCCAAAGTACTTGGTCAATGGACCTGGCCGGAGGTTTTTTTTTCTGTAAGTTCATTACTTAGATAAAGCAGATTATGTATTATATTTAGATGTTCTGTACCAGAAAAAAAAAAGAATTTTAAAAATCCCAAAAGTTGGGAACTAACTTCCTACTGGTGATATTACCATAGTGAAGCAAGCATCCAAATGGATTGTGTCCAAGATCACAAAAAAAAAAAAAAAAAAAAAAAAAAAAAAAAAAAAAAAAAAAAAAAAAAAATAAGAGTAGCAACTAAAATTCCTTGTATGTGCTTAAGCACTTGCTTTTTAAGCAAGTTGTGTTGTTGATAGAAACAACACTAAGAGCCTGTTTGGATTGGCTTGTTTTAAGTACTTTTAAGCCATTTTGTAGTGTTTGGATAAAGTAAAAAAGTACTTTTAAGCACCTGTTTTTAAGCTAAAATGACAAAAACAAGCCAAAAGCCAAAAGTTAGAATTCCTAACTTATGGCTTAAAAGTTATTTTGGCTTACAAGTTACTTAAAACAAGCTCATCCAAACGGGCTCTAAGAAAATTCTGTCAACTGGACGCTCTAAAGACTATAGCTCCTTTTACTGTAAGATGTAATACATAGAACCCAAATAGGATCATTGAAATGGAAGAGCTCTACCAGATTGCTTTGCTATATGAAGATACATACCAAAGCAAAAGGTAAATTTTATCCAACATTTGCAGAACAAGCAATGTAACATGAGAGTGACTGTTGAGCATCTATGGCCCAGCATATCGACAAGATGAGCATTTTAGAAATGCGAATATTAAGATGATTGGTCATACAAGATTAGAGAAGATCATAATAATCACTTTAGATAGAAGGTACAAATAACACACACAAAAGATAAAATTGACAGGTCGTCTAAGATGAACAATGTCCTACAAAGATCTTCAAATGCACCCATAAGTGTACTATGATGATTCAAGGTGTTAACAAGGGGCTGGTAGACCTAAATTTGCATTAAAGAAAGTTCTCTCAAAATCCTTACACATTTAGCTAAGAATAGAACGCAATGGAAAGAAAAGATCCAAATAAACGACACCAAAGAGTTGTGATTAAGGTTTAGCTATGTTGGCACACTCTCGTGGTCTGGCATTTCGCATCGGAATAAATTATCACGTACTAGAACGAAATGGATCTAATGGAGTAGAATGGATACTGAGGTTCCATATGACCAACACAAACTAATTTGTGATTAAGACGTTGTTATTATTGTTGTGGAAGGGTCCCCTGCTTTCCCATCACAGCATCTAATATTTATTTTGTTCCAGATTGCAAATTAAACACAGATTTATAGCATTTCATAGAGCCTTATGCTGCTTCTTATCCTCTGTCTTTCAGCTGCAGATCACATCGAGAGATTTTCACCATTTAATACGAAATGGGTTAGTGAAGAATCCCCAGATTTGCCAGACATGGGACAGTGTAGGAACTGTTGTTCCGATGTCAAACAAAGAAAAGGCATCAACTCCACATGCTGAGTCCCCAAAGTTTACTAGAGTTGAACATGTTTTGTGTAATGCAATCTAGGTGGAAGCACGCTACTTTTCTCGCATTTTCTCTATTCTCTCTACCGTGTCTATTATTTTTAACTTATGGTAAATAGGTCCAGAAAGGGATGCTGAGACATTTATATGAGGAACAATATAGATAAAAATGAAACATAGGAAATTTAATATGAGAATGACACAGGTGATGAGTCGAAGCAATTCATGTACCTTATCAACGGCAAGGATCTTCGTCCAAATGAAGACAAGAATTTGCCTAAGCTCCGGAGCCGTGGTTTGCAAAAGCTTTAGAACGTAAGGAAATATTCCAACAGACAAGACCTGGAAGTAAAATTGCTCACTTAAGTATTACTTGAAAATTAGACGCAGAAAGTTAGATGCAACCAGCTTAATTAACAAGAAACTTGAAATGCAGCACCACTAATAAGTACCAGATCTACAGCCCAAAGTCCCATATTGAGAAATCTCTCAAGAAGAACCAGTGCACGGAACCGGTGGCATTGAGTATGTAACACCTAATAACAAAGAATAACCTGGTTATCATCCCATACAAAGAGAAAAGTGCACCAAAATAACAAAGCCCTCGAGGGTGTGAAGAGAACCTAATAAATAGGAAAAAATCGCAAGATAATTCGCAATAAGTTTGTATCTTAGGGAGAACTATGGTTTTTCAATTTATGCATCCTTCTGTCGGGTCAAGAGGATATACACCAAGTAAATCTAGACAAACTTCACAATTCAAATAAACATATTTGCTTGCGAAATGAACGGTACCGACTATTCTTCAGGAAAACCCAACAAAAAAAGACTAAGAAATTGTTTTAACTGAGACTAACATTACTAAAACCAATGCTTCTGCTGTTTTACCATCAGAAACTTTAATTACTTGCCTAGCGGTAATTTGCTTCTGCAACAGTAGGGAAATGGGATACACCAGAATTGACAAAAATAGTGCAATAATCTGCCATGGATTGTTAGATTACTCGAGCAAAAAATACACAGTAAGCAAAACATGAAACAAATGAAGACCCAATTGTGCTGAGAGGAGTATCCAATACTTGATGACCTTTTAAGTAATATAAGAGGAGAGTTAACTGTTCCTCATATAATGAGATGACATTCTGGTTACTTTTTTCTCCTTGCATGAGAACATTCCATTATTCTAAATTTTAGCATGATATCCAGAAAATTGTTCTCCTATTTAAACAAACTGAAGCAAATACAGAGAGGTCAACTGAGGCTTCATCAAGTAATATAAGAGAGTTAACCATTCCTCACGTAATGAAATGACATTCTAGTTATTTTTCTCTTTACATGAGAACATTCTATTATTCTAAATTTTAGCATGATATCCAAAAAAAAAACTCTCCTATTTAACCAAACTTAAGCAAATGCACAGAGGTCAACTGAGGCTTCATCAAGGAACAAGAATGCTAACAACCAAATGTTTTCACTCCACCTTTTATCATATTAAGTCATAAGTATTGAAAGGAGTGCGGGAATGAGAAAAGATGCACTGCTTAAAGCCACCATTTCATGGAAAGAACCAAGAATGCCATTCCTTTTATTTGAACCATAAGAATTCTTACCTGTAGAACAATGGGCAACTGCTCTGGTGGATTTTTATTCTCTGATCCATTGTCAAGCCAAACCTCAAAAGCTGTCAACTGTTCCGTGAAGAATGGGCTAGGCTGAAGAAATCAAAAGATGGGAAACATTTAATCTTGAAAAGATACATGGACCAAACTTTTGAGAATATAGTATACAATCAAATCATTACCCCACCTGAAATTCCACATTCGGATCATCAATCAAAGTAGGAAGCTGCAAAAGGCAGATTTCTGTTGCCATGTCCCAAGCATCCCTGTGGGACAAGTGCAGACCCCAATGAGGGGAAGGTAATACATGAATCTGTGTAGATTGTTGAGTGTTTTGTGTAGTTACCACATGTGGTGCTGATGAGTAGGTGGTAGCATTGGGTATGAAATTGGTGAACAATTTGCAGAACGCACGATTCTTTCAGCAAGTAAAAAATTTCTGAATAAACTAGCAACTAATAGGTCTTGCCTGAACAATTTTTGAAATAGATCTGTGGTTTTGAAGCTCACAGATTAGAAAGAGTTTAAACTGCAAAAAGGATTAAGAAAACTGCATCAAACTAACTAGTCTATCACATTACCTCGTGGTAGAACATTCCAGGCAATTGTGTCGGTTACTGCAGTGAGAATCCAATTCAATTCACCAAGAGGTGTCTTTCGATCAGTTTGGCGTCCAGGAATTCGATCTATTAGACCATAATCAAGTGACTCACGAATCAATGACCGTGTGCAAAACCTAACAGCCAAAAACAGAATTAAGTAGATTACGAGGAATGAATAACTAGTTATAACATATTTGACCAAAAGGTTAAAAAGAAAAAGAAAACAAAAAGGCAGCTCGGTGTACACAAAGCATTTCTTTTGAAATAAAAGATTAGTCATAACAGTTGAAAGAAAATAGCAGCTTATCAAGGAATTCTGACAACAAACATCAAACTTGAAGCAGGCACAGATAACTAAGAGTATATTCAAACATACTAAGTGGAAATTCCCTAAGACAGCATATTAATCTATAGCAACGGTTAGCATAATAGACAACCATGTGGTTCCTGAAATATGAGGTGCCATGTAACTTTGGGGCATCAAAGAGACTTGTCCTGTTGTTCAAGTATTCTTTTGGTGAGAAAGGCTGTTCTAACTTTCCAAATATATGGTTAAATAAGACATGATGTTTAAGATAAACTATGGAATACCATAAAGAGAGAAAAACATAATATTCCATCAGTCGGGAACCAAACCCACTGAAGGTATGCAACGTTTCCAACAATCAAGCATTGCAGCTAGTTCGGCCCATTGTAGATTTGACCAGGTTTAGCAGAAAGCAGGAAAAAGGGGGGAAGGATAAAGGATAAACAACTCTTGCTGAGAGCATGTCACCATCTCAATGCCATTTTGATTGGAGTTGTGAGGCAGGAAGTGAAAACATCAGCAGGAAATTCAGCACTTTGAGGAAGTGTCTCATGTGCTTCACAAGCAGCAAGCAGAATACAATCTCTCGTAGAAGGGCCAGAGGAATCAGAGACAGTCAAGTCTTGGAGCTGCATTAAACAAATCACCAGGTAACTGATTAGCCTCAAATTTTGTCTCCTTCCTTCAGCCTTTTTTAGCAGATGGGTAGATCACCTCATAGTTAAGCATGTAATGCATTATTACAATATGTACCTCTATAAAGGTATTAACAATCATCCCAGCAGCTGAGCAGTCAAAGACATAGATCGATGGTGTCTTCAACCAAGAGTCCAGGTCAGTAATCGGCAATGGGATATACTGCGTATAACTCTAAACCAGATGTCCCAATAAGAAAAAGACAGATATCACAACAGCTCTGAGAAATCAATTTGAGTAAGAAAGAAAACCTTATTAAATAGCCAAATTTCACCATTGGATGTTGGTTTTGGCACACCATGTCCATTATAATGGAACAGAACTCGTTCTGACTTGGCATACTTCCTACATGTTGTGCAAAGTTTCTTAACTTCATCAACAGTAGGATCCAAGGAGATCTTGTAGCGTGCCTACATATAGTTAGATATTTGGGTCATTTATAATTGAATTATTGATTACCTCACCACAATAATATAGCCTAGACCTTGTCCACGCATGATATCTATTAACACAAAAACATTTTTCTTACCCTAGGTTGCCACCTCTCATATTGTTCATTCAATGTTCTCCCAATTGTTTCAAGGGCCTTTTGAGGTGCCACAGAAAATGGATCTGTCATATGGGAATAAGAGCAAGTGCTTAAATAACTGCTGGTTGACAAAATTTTCAAGCACCAGGATTTGAAAATTGCTGAATGCAACTAAGAGGTAAAATCTTAACTAAATTCATCCCCACTCCCCAAGAGAATATAAACTGTTTATTATGGAAGCCAGTATAGCTGATACCAAAATAGATTCAAGTAAAACAACAGATCAGACAAGAAGTACTATCAACTATTGTGTTGCCATAGCGATAACATAAGCAACAACATGAACACAGACCAGGAATACTACAAAGGTTCCCAAAAAGCTACTCCACAAGTATGCCACAGAACCTTCAGCAAATGCTATGAGACGGACTGAGAGTCCTGAAGAACCTGCAAAGATTATTATTCACAAAAGGGCAAAAGCTAGAGGAGAGAGATTCCTAGGGGGCAGGAGACTTTACATTAAATGGTTAAAATCATGAAAGAACAATGCAGGGTGTAAGAATTGGCAGAGGGAAATAGAGTGTAGGAATTTGTCACTGGAAGATGTATTGAGTCAAATCCAAAGGTAAGTAAAAAATGTAACCGATGTCCAAAATGAGAACATAATCTAGAGAAACAAGACGAAAGAAACGGGAGGATTGCCCATATTGCTCTTGATTGGACATGATGGACGAAAAATCAAGAGAAAGGCATTAAAAACAGAGCACTGGAAAGCTATTCATCCCCCCACAAACCCCCAAAAAAATCATAACGGCAAGCTCTTCGCCTAAGTTGAACAATGTCTTACTAGGAGAGGCCTATGTTGAAATCAGAAGTGGGAATCAGTAAAACACATCGACCAAAGGTGTCGAGTAGAAAGGATCACAGTTTTCCCACTATTCCCACACTTATGGGCATGCATTCTCAAAACTCCAAATAAGATCTGCTTTTTCACTTGGTTAGCAGTAAGGGAGACCATTCTCACAATGAAAAACTAGAGGAAGAAAGGACTACATAGGTCAGTTGGTGCTACATGTGCAGACGCTCGAGAAATTGATCACCTACTGTTACACTATAAGGTTGAAAATCAGTTATCGTTAATTGTGTTAAACTCCTTCTGCATCCAGTGGTTGACAGAAATCACAATCAATGATTTGTTATTCAATTGGGCCTTCAAACGAAGGTAAAGGAGGTGTAGAGCTTAGGATGTAACACCTTTGGCCTTAATGTAAGTTGTATTAAGAGAAAGAAACATGAGATTTTTTTTTTTATAATCTTGGTGTTCGGGCCAGCTTGCGTACACCTCGACTAATTCCACATGGTACTACCTGCTACCTCCTACCAACAGCATGTGAACTTTTTAAGGGTGGATATTACTTAAGTAGCATGTCTTTTGGTTCTACTCAATTTTTAGAGCACCGATGAGGTCCGGTTAGCATAGATGATATGGTGTTCTTCGTAGAGAATCATATCTTTGTGCATAACTATTTACAGCTTGTGTGACCCTATACCCAAGTATTCACGTCCGTAAAATATTCACCGTGTCTAAAAGATAAGGAATAGTAGCAAAAAAAAAAGGAAGAAATACTTGTTCTTTTAAAAGCAAAAGAAGAAGAAGATTTTAGCATACCAATCCAACACTGCATTCGAGCACAAGGAGATATCTTTATTACATCAGGTGGATCAACGCTGATGTTCAAACACAACACAAGGGCAACACATCCCGTCTTCATCTGCAAAACGTTTTGTACGCTTAGATGTAATAGAGGTAAAGATATCAAACATTTGTTTACTCTATGAGAACAAAGCCCATTGCTGTGTAAGATATTAGCTAGCTCAATAAATAAGATAGAAACAAAAGGTCATCAAGTACTGCATGTGTAAGATTTTCTCTTTTTACATAATACAACGAGCAACAGGTATAAATAAATCTAATCAAGCATTTGAAAATCCAAATCTTATCTTCAAAAATTTGCAAAACTGTTGTGCTGCAATAACATCTTAAAATCAACCTTTTCTTTTGGGTCCAAATAAAGCATCTCTAAACAACCCTTTATGCAAAGACGAAAATAATTACATAATACATCTTTAAATCATTTTTATTTCAATGGTTACTTAAGTTGAAGAAGATTGTAGCAACTAAAGCACTACAAGGTTAAAGCACGCACACCAGATTATTTAGTAACATCAATTTAGCAAAAGTCAGAAAGGGCACACAAGATGCATTACCATTAGACAAACTGTCATTAAAAATCTAAGAGAAGATAAAAGAAACTAAGACATCAGTACATAACAGCCTCGTCTCACCAAGCTCTACTAGATTAGAGGTCTAGGTAAAAGCTTAACTTTTTCACACAGCTTTTTTCAAGGTGTAAATCACAACTGGAAAATAAAATATCCCGAGATTAAACATGACTTTATCAAAGCCATAAGCCATTTTCACTCCCATGGAAGTTTTGAAAGAAGCCTAAATGACTCATATATTGCTCTTATTCCCGAGAAAGCAGGTGCCAAGCTAAAGGTTTATAGACCAATAGGTTTGATTGGTAATTTTTATAAGGTGCTGTCAAACTTCTTGCTAACAAACTTAAAACAGTTATGAGCAAGCTGGTTTCCCCTTCCCCAAACGGCTCCTGCGCGTGGCAGACAGATAACAGATGCTTCTCTTATCGTAAATGAGTGTCTTGACTGCAAACTGATGCAAGGAAAGGCTAGAATTTTGTGTAAACTAGACATTCCGAAAGCTTTTGATATTGTGCATTGGGATTCCTTATCAACATGCTAAAGTCTATGGTCTTTGGTGAAAAATGGGTCAAATGGATTCACTTTTGCATCTCCACTGTAAAGTTGCCCATTATCATAAATGAATCTCCCAAAAGATTTCTTTGCATCACACAAAGGCTTAAGACAAGGAGATCCCATCTCTCCTTTTCTTTTCACTTTTGTCATGGAAAGCTTAGTTAAAATGTTGGCAGCAGCTGAGGTACGGAAATGGATTAAGGGCTTTAATCCAAGCATGAGGAACCAGGGAGAAATGCACCTCACTCACCTTCTTTACACAAATGACTCTCTTATTCTCTGTGATGCAGACCGTGTGCAGAATTTCTATTTATGCGTGGTCCTCCTCTTTTAGAAGCGGTATGGGGCCTCCACATTAGTTACTCCAAAAGTGTTCTTTTCCCTGTAAATGATGTTCCCCTATAGGAGATTGTAAGCATTATCGATTGTACAGTAGATTCCCTCCCTACCAAATATTTGAGCCTCTCTTTGGGAAACAAGGTAAATACTACTGCAATTTCGGATGATATCTTGGAGAAGTGTCAAAAGCAACTCTCCTGTTGTAAGAAGAAATATCTCTCACTTGGGAGAAGGCTAGTGCTAATCAATAGTGTAATAGATTCCCTACTCACATGCACTATGTTCTTGTTCCCTCTACTGGCTTCTGTGGCGCAAAGAATGGATTAACTAAATAGAGATTTCATGTGGCA